ATGGGAAGGCCAAAGCATAGAGATGGGGGAAATTAGCATAGTGTACTAGTGAAAAGACACAAAAAGGAAACTCAGCTCTCAAATGTCAGTACAAGGCACTAAGTAGCACCTTAATGCTCATGTCTTTCTCCTGTGTCCCACAAGAGAGGTTGTGACAGCACACTGGGTTGGGTAATCTCTAAATCATTGTGACCGAGAAAACAGCATTGGATGAAAATAGAGGCCTGGTTTCAAGACTCTCCTTAGAACCTGGGAGACAGGGAAGCCCGGGGTGTGGGTTGGCAGCACTCCTACTCTGGAGATGACATCACTGCTGGAGAAAGGCAGTGCTCACTCCTGGCACTCTGAGTCACTGCTCACCAATAACTCAGGGGAGTCTTGCATGAGAATCCCTCATTGTGGGGATTAGTGACCATCAAAACTAGTTTTCCGGGTACTTGTGTTTGACTAAGGGGAGAAAGTAAAATTAAAACATCCTTGTAAATGAGAGTCACATGACAGAAGGTAGTACATAAGTCCTGCCATTAGAATCACATGGAAGGGCCCTCCTCCCTGCTTCCCGCCACTTTAGAGCCGAGCAAACTGAAGTGGGGAAACGGGAGGTCAAATGCCAGCTACTCTGGGGGATGGGAGGGGTAGCAGAATACAACAATTGCTAGTGGGGCATTGTGTGGAATTGTGGATGTGTAACCGACGAGATTCTGCAATCTGCATTTGGGGTTAAAATTGGGAGTTCATGGCCCTCTTCAATCTAATGTGTGAAATGCGGTGTGTCAGGAGCTTTGTAATGTTGTGAACAACCAATGAAAAAAAAAATGCCAGCTACTCCAGTGTCAGGGCTAGACTCGGGGCGCCTGAACCCCATGTCAGATACTCTTTCCATTGCATTGCCCTGCACCCATCTCATGCCAGTTTCCAAGATGTTAAGTGTGGACACTCAGAGCCACATCCACCTAGACAGCAGTGACACTTTTCACCTTACCTAGACTTGCAGACGGCACAGACCCCAAGGGAGAAGTGGGGCCTGTGGGAGAGTAAGTTGGCTGCTTGTGTCATCCTGCAGAAAGACACTGTGGAGCAACCAGCAAAACCGGTTCTGGGTGGAAGAACCCTGCAACAGCAGTTCCGCCAGAATCAGGCTGCAGTTGACACCCTGGAAGTCGGGGAGTAATCCCCAAACCTCAATGTGACTAATACTTTTAACACCTTCCCTGGGCAGATACTGTTCGTATAACTAAATTAACCTGAATGATTAGCATCTCACATCCCCTCCTTTCCTCTGTCTGCTAGAGGAGACAGAAATAACTTGTAAGTCAGCCACAGAAGGAACAAGCAGAGTGTGTCCTGGAAAACTCTATGATCCTTATCTCCAGGTCTTGATTAAATGTATGTAGCAAGAGTATCAGATATTGGACTTTTTTTTTTTTTTTAAATAAAGGCACCAAAATGTGAATATCCAAGGAAAAGCTATCCTTCAGCATGGTCACCTTGGAAAAAGGCACAGTTTTCTCAAATGATGCTGCTATTGCTCAAAGCACATGGGTAGCATCTCTTCTGACACTGCCCCCTTCAAATTGGTTTGCAAAACCTTGTGCAAAGAAAAACAAAGACAACAATAAAACTCGGATCTCCTCCAGCTTGTGGCTGGGTCTTCACATGCAGATCCATCTTACTTCTGGGGTTTCTTTAAACACCTTCAGAGGTCAACATTTACAACTTTGGTAGGCATTCAAAGGATGCTGCAGCATCTCCTTCCAACCATGGTGACATGAGTGTGCCTCTGGCCTGATGCCACTCACTGTGGTGCACTAAGGACTGGCAAAGGAGCCAGGGAGTGCTGGTGGTACGCCTCACCCCTTTCTCTGAGCCACAGGCTAAACCAAGCCCCCCACCCTTGGTATGTCACTACCTTCCCCAACACTGAAAGCCAGCAAACATCCAAGCTGTGTACGTGTGGTTTGGAGGTGACAGGGTAGAGCATAAAAACTCAAATGTCCAACAGGGCCATGCATGGAAAATTCTAGAAAAAAGAAGGCTAAGAAAAGCAATAAAGAACAGCCAGTACCAATGAGTGCCATGAAGGTTATTCTCCTTGCAAACACTCTGGCCAGAATCTTTAATTACCAAAATAGTCTAGAATCTGGATTTAAATTTTTTTTCTTTATTATTAAATGTGGACAAAAATGTTAAAATTTGAAATATAAGTACATAAATGTACAATATACCCACATTTGTTCTGTGGTCCACACAAGGCAGAAATCGCAGGTTTGTGTCCTTTGACCACACAAGCCAAAAGCATCATGCGACACTGAATGGGACCCCAGTCCTGAAACCTACAAAGATTTCTGGGTGGATGTCATCAATAGGAATTTGAAATAAAATATAACTGCTTCTGAAAAGAAGTCTACAATATGGAAATTACAAATCATTCCACTGTGAGATGACACTTTGTATTTTTTCTTGGTACTGCCGATTGAACCCAGGAGTGCTCTATCACTGGCTCCATTCCCCAGCCCTTTTTATTTTTTGAGACAGGGTCTCCTCAATTTGCCCAGGCTGGCCTCACATTTATGATACTCCTGCCTCACGCAGTCTCCTGAGTAGCTGATATTACAGCACGTGCCACTGTGCCTGGCTGACACCTTTTGCTGGCTTTGTTCAAAAACCTTTTTTTAAACGACCATCCTATTTTTTTTTCCAGCCTGTTCATTACAAAATCAATAATATCTTAAAGAAGTGCCCTAGGCTCTGCAGCCTCTCTCATAAAGTAGATTTAACTATCACAGCTTTCTTTAAAGGCCCTTCCATAGTTTGGAGAAAACCAAAGGGAACTATTTTTTATTACTTATCGATTAACCCAGACCTAATACAATCACAACCACCAAACAATAGTCACTTAAAATAGACATTAAAGAAATAAAACAAATTTTGCTACAGTGAGCATTATAAAATATCCTTCAACGTCATTTATCAAAGCATATGTAAACTTAAACTTGACCATCTGGAACAACACACATAGGCACACCAACATGCACATGTATATTTGTGTACACATGTGTAAACACACATTTAGACAAGAAGGAGCTCCTGCACATGGCCAATGAGTGGTATGGAGTGAACTGGACTGAAAGGTCAACTCGGGCCCAAATCAACTATCTCACTGGTCTACCTCAGAGCTGTCCCTTCCGAATTAGGCATTTTCTTTAAAAGGTCCCTACCGACACAGAACACTTAACACATTCACCTACTAGCACTGCTTATCACAGATTGCATGATCATGAAAATTACAGTGATGATTAGAGCTCCTATTTATAGTTTGCTCTAACACTGATAAATACTTGCAGTGACATGATCACATTGTCTTCCCAGTGACCCTGAGATGGCCCTGCTTCCCTGGCTCACACCGTCAGACAGTGTGGTTCCCTTGCCTCCCTCCCCAGAGCACTGGATCACCATGCATTGTACCCTCAGCATGATGCTTGGTACAACAGACATTTGGAAATGTCTGTTTTGTTTCGAATTCAGGAATGGAGGCCCAGAGAATTTCGATTGACTTGCTAAGGATTCTAGTCCCTTCTGGAGGTGTGCCATCACAAAGACTGCCCCTGGTTGTCCAGTCCCATCATCCAGCTTCCAAGAGAATCGGCACAAAGAGAAAGGGCAGGCACTGTTGCAGTGAGTAGGGGTTGGACAGGAGCCAGAGAGGGTGCGGACAGACCTGCACAAGGCCAGAGGTGGAGTTCTTGGGACTGGGAGGGGCAGGAAAAATGGTGCTCAGGCAGCCAAGGATGTCAGTGGAGTGCAGAGAGCACACGGGAACTTCCAGTGCAGGGGCCACGGGCCTCACATACCCACTCTCCCTGCACTTCAGGATGGCGCCTGATCTTGTCCGTGCAAGGTCTGCTTCCTTCCCTGGGAGGCCCTAATCCCCTGGAAGATTCTCAAGGCTATGCTGACATTCTGTCACTATGTGCCCATTTGGGTCACCTTTCTTGAGCCTAAAGCCAATTTCAACCACATTGTTTTCCTCATGAGTGACATGGGACACTGAGCAATTCATCTTCCTCTGGAAGTCTTGCTGCAAACTCCCAGCCAGTTTCCTTTCTCACCCAGCCTGCCCCTGCCCGAGGACAATACGGCATTGACAGGAGTTGTTGACATTGACCTTCTAACACTCACCTGGGTGGTACAGAATTGAAGCAGAAAACACGCCTAGATTTCATCCGGAACCTTCCCTTAAGTACAAAATAAGGATAAAGGATCAGAAGCTAAGACACTCAGAGTGGGCTTGGCAGAACTGTTTGGAGCTCTCCTAAAATCAGAGACTGGGGCTCGAAAGCAAACTTCCATATGTTTGCTTTCTTGTCCACAATAGGCAATGGTGGGCATCTGTCCTTGGTGTACCTCTGGCTGCCACGGTGTTACCCTTGTGCTTCTTAAACACACTGGTCCCCAGAGGAACAGACAAAGGTCAAACAGCCAGCAAAAGAAGTGGTTCAAATTCATGGTGGGGGCATTACCCAGTGGTGAAGCTCACAGCCCTGCCGTCCTGCTTCCTGCACCCCTCCCTTTCCCAGCCAAAGACATGAGCTCTGAGCCCTGCCCTGCCTTGGGAGGCTTCATGGAAAAGCCTGAGATGGGGTTTGAGGGTTCTGCAGTGCAGGGAGGAAAGGTTTTCTGGACTATCTTCCTTAGCTCCAAGTTCTCAGATGGCCTGAAGGACCTGGGAGGAGAGTCAGCTTGACTCATCACCACCTATGGAAGGCCACAGAGCAGAGACAAACCCCCCTCATCTCCCCTCACCCCAAAATCAGCACTGAGCAGTATATAACTGAAAATGTGTGACCTTGGAGAGAAAGACAACAGGTTCATTTCCTTTTTTTCTGGCTCAAGTTAATAGGAAGTTACTTGTACAGCATTTAGAAAAAGAATCTTGTGCTGAGGGCGGGCATGTGAATTGAAAAGCATAAACGATGAACCAATGCTAAGAATTCACTCACCTTTGCCTCTTCGTTCACATCCCAGGTAAAGGAAACAGCATTATAGGCGATCTCTTCAATGTTGCCAATCGTATTGAAGCTCTCTTTGTAATCAGCTGTAAGAGTAAAAATGAAAAAGTTTTCAAAAAAGAGTAAAAATTACTTGGTGGTATGTGTTTTCCAATGGGGAAATTTAAAGTTTGTCGATTTTTCTGTCCATCTCTATGGCAACAGTTAAGGATAGGTGCTTACTGGTATTCTTTGGTTAATATTTACCCATGTAAATAAGAACATAAGCATACTTCTCTATTAAAAGAGAAAATCTAAGTGAAGCAATGCCCTTATCTGATTTATCAGTTTCATTTTTTACTAGGTTTAAATTATTTAGGTGTTTTTTCTCTCCTGATTCTGCCTGTATTCTTTCCTACCACTTAAATTTGCTAGAAATGCCAGAGTATTTCATAGAATGCATTTCATAAGAATGCATATCAAGCACTTTTGTGCTTACGAAACATGTTAGGTTGACTTGCTTGTATATGTAACTTAATTGTTGATAAGTTGTGTTATGCTATGGCTAAGGCTGCCAGGTTTGGCAAATATTTGGAACATACTTATCCTAAAAAAACCCTGGCTGCTTTTATCAAAACACAAATTTAACCAGGCACCCTGTATCTTAGGTTACAACCCTCACTTTGGACCTCTTCAGAACCAACCACAATGCAGGTTGCAAGACTATTTCTAACTGTGGCTGCAAAGAACAATATGGCAACCATCAGCACGGTTTATTTATCCCCTCTCTCCAGAGATGTACCCTTCACTAGTCTCTGCTCTCGCAGACAACACTGCAATAGAAGTTCTTACTCCTGGAGACTGAATTGATGGTTAACTTCAGAAAAACCTACCAACTGTGCTCTCCAGAATGACCTTCCAGACTCTCTCCAAAACAGGTTGGCCAATCTAACCTCACAATTTAACCTCACAATTCTCTTTCCCTTTCTTTAGCTAATCTGATGGGTGTAGAGTGGAATCCCCTTGATGTTGTATTTAAATTTCTTTTTATGGGTCCAGGCAGGTCCTCACATACAGGCTAGCCAACTGAGTGTCTCCTTGTATAAACTGCTCACTCCTGTTATTTGGTCGTATTCCTAATCACCTCCCCTAGAAAAACTACATAGATTTACTCCTGCCTGCCTTCCTTCCTTCCCTCCCTCCATCCCTCTCTCCCTTCCTCTTTCCTCCCTCCCTCCCTCCTTCCCTCCCTTCCTTCCTTCCTTCCTTCCTTCCTTCCTTCCTTCCTTCCTTCCAGATTGAACCCAGGGGCACTTTACACTTTACCACTAAGCTACATACCCCAGTCCTTTTAAAATTGTTTTAATTTTGAGACAGTGTCTTGCTAAGTTACTGAGGCTAGCTTTGAATTTGCAATCCTCTTGCCTCAGTCCCTGGAACTGCTGGGATGACAGGCATGTGCCCCTGTGCTCAGCTATATCTTTACATTTTAGACAAAGCACACAAACAAATGATAAAAGTGTGTGTTCACCATAAAAAAAATCAGAAGCTATGAACAAATAACAAAAATACTTAAAAGCAACCACAATGTACTCATTCACAATAACCACCTTTAAATACATCTGTGTACATTTTATCTTTCCTCTCTTTCTCCCTTTCTCAGAATATGTAATATTTCTACAATTATTTTTTAATTAACTCGTAGCCATTGTTGTTACTTAGCACATCTTTAGCATATTCCCATGTTAATAAACTGGTGTAAAAGTACTGTTGAGGCATCTCTAGCAATTAGAGAAATGCAAATTAAGACTACACTGAGATTTCATCTCACTCCAGTCAGAATGGCCATTATCAAGAATACAAGCAACAATAAATGTTGGTGAGGATGTGAGGAAAAAAGGTACACTCATACATTATGGGTGCACTCACACATTGGTGCAACCACTAGGAAAGCAGTATGGAAATTTGTCAGAAAACTTGAAATGGAACCACCATTTGACTCAGTTATTTTATTCCTTGGTTTAAACCCAAAGGACTAAAACTCAGCATACTACAGTAATAGAGCCACATCAATGTTTATAGCTGCTCAATTCACAATAGCTAACCCATGGAACCATCCCAGGGGCCCTTCAACAGATGAATGGTTACAAAAGCGTGGTATATATACACAATGGAATATTATTCAGCCATAAAGAGAAATGAAATTATGCATTTGCCAGTAAATGGATGGAACTGGAAAGTATCATGCTAAGTGAAATAAGTCAATCCCAAAACACCAAAGACCGAATGTTTTCTCTGATATGTGGATGCTAACTCACAATAAGGGGGGAGTGGGGGTAGAGTAGAATAGAAATACTTTGTATTAGACAAATGGGAATGAAGGGAAGGGAGGGAGGATGAAAATAGGAAAGATAGCAGAATGAATCAGACATACTTTTCTATGTGCATATCTGATTAGATGACCAATGTAATTCTACATCATGTACAACCAGAAGAATGAGAAGTTATACTCCATATATGTATAATATGACAAAACACATTCTACTATCATGCATAACTAATACGAAAAAAATTAAAATATTGGGAAAAAAAATTTTAAAAAATCATAGTTAAGGGCTAAGTATCACCACATTAGATCTTGTGGCACAACTTTATTTTGCTCATGTTGGTCATTAGAAAACATAGCACTTTGCTATCTAAAATACCATTTCATTTAATTATCTTTACAGCTAAAATTTTATATGTACTTTATTATATTTTATTAAGATATATTCCCAGGGTCTGGGGGTGTAACTCAGAGGTTGAGCACCTTACGTTCAATCTCCTGGATTGATAAATAAATAAATAACAAAAGCAAAGATATATTCTCAGAAGTGAAAGTAATAGGCCAAAGAGCAATATATTTTTAGGACTAATTGATTTTGTCAAATTGTTCCTAAAAAGGTTGAAACAGTTAATATTCACAATATCAGTTCTTTTTTGACATGAAAAACCTGCCACCTTATTATTTTAATCAGTAATTCCTTGATTGCTAAAGAGGTTGAATAGTTTTCATTTGGTTTCTGGCTGTTGGCTTTTCTTTTTATTCTTTCTCTTAGTTTTTAAAATGTATTCACTTATATAACTGTTTCCAGTTCTATTGTTTGCACATTTTTTTCTCTTAGGATATTCAAATTTTCTTACTGACTTTAAAATAAATATTTAAAGCTAAAAGAGAAAACAAAAAGCAAAGAAAAACAATTTTATATTCTACAAATTTAGATTAAGGCATTTATGACTTTATATGAGATGGTTTTAAATGCACACCTGTGCTTTCGGCTGGCCAACAATCTCTTAAAATTATGAAGAGAGAAATAGAGCACTGAATTTGAATAAGAAATTGAATTCCTGGATTCTTTATAACTGGCTTAAAAGATTGTGTTACAATTTTGTTTGAGTTTTTAATCAGCATTTTTAAAAACAGTTTATACGTCAACTGTAAATACGAAAGCAAATGTCATAGGTAGAAACTAAGACAAACCAAGGTGCTTAGGTCAAACACATATTCTAGATGTCACAAGCTATTTGTTGGGTTATAGGGCTTTAGTTTTTCATAGCTTCTCTCACTGAAAATTTTCTCCAATAAAGAATGTGCACTGAAGAATGACTACGACATTTGCTGGTAAATGGATGGATCTGGAGAACATCATGCTAAGGGAAATAGGCCAGTCCCTAAAAACAAAGGTCAAGTGCTTTTGCTGATATGTGGAAGCTAAACCACAATCAAGGGGAAGAAAGGGAAGAAGAGAAGTTCATAGATTAGAGAAAGGGGAATGGAAAGGAAGGGAGGTGGGGATAGGAATAGGAAAGACAGTGGAATAAATCTAACATAATTTTCCTATGAACACATATGAAAATACCTAAGCGAACCCCACCATGGTGCCCACCCACAAGAATGGGGTCCTAATTAGAATAAAATATATCCTATGCTTGTATAATTTTATTAAAATGGATTCTATTTTCATGTATAACTAAGAAGAACCAATATGATAAAAAAAATTTTTACATGTGTCATCTGAAAAAGGAAAAACATTTTCAGAAACAGGTATAATAAAAACAAAAACAAAACCCTTACAAGATCCCTCAATCAGGCAGAGATCCCCTCTCTTCGTCAATCAACATTTGTAACAAATGCTCAGGATGAGCCCCTGGCTTCCAGGCGCTGTCCTCAGATGGAGGAACAGCAGAAAACAAGACTAGGTCCCCAACAGTGTGGCTCTTTCAGTCCAGAAAGAGCCAGAATATAAATCGGTAAATACATAAATGAACAAGACAATTAGACAAATGTCCTTAATATGCTTTTTTTTTTAATGCCAAAAACAAAAGGGCGGGTAAGACTATGTTTTACTGGTTTTATTACCTTGTTTATTTCCCTCACAGCATGTGCGAGTACTTCATTTATTTGTTTACCATTTTTCACCAGCACTTCTCATTAGCAATTTACAGGCCAAAGAAATGATCTTAAATACTGCTGCTTTCTCAGAGCGTAACATCATATGCTTAAGATGCACCCAATAAATTTGTTGAACTAAAGAATGTGTGGATGGATTCACAGATGTTCTAAACACAAAAAGTATAACCAAGAGATGAACATCATACACTTCTCTGAAGCCTTAAATGGGAAACGTCTGTTCTTCTCTACCCTTCATTTCTGTCTGCAGAGGGTCAGACAGTTCATGGAGGGAATAGAATGCAAAGAGCTGCATCTCCTGTTTCTGGAAGCTGTGCTCATATCCTTTGATAAGTGCCGTTTACTTCAGGGTTTATGACCTATGGGGTAGGAATAGGAACTTAGGTATACACGACAGTAGAATCATGTACAACCTGGTAGTAAATTGTCCTTGACTAATTTCCTTATGAAAGTTTCTGAAGCCCCAATTTTGCAAATGTTGATAGTTGCAGCCAGTAGAAGGTCCTGCTGCTCTATTAGTTTCCTAGAGCATCCACCACAAATGGCCAAAACAACAAAAATGGATTTTCACTTAGTTCTGGAAGCCAGATGCTTGAAATAAAGGTGTCAGGGGTGTTGGTTCCTTCTGGAGGCCCTGAAGGATAATCTGCGGTGTGC